AAAAAAGCTTAAAGTTAATTAATATTTGCAATTTCAGAAAATTAAAAAAAAATTCGTGTTGCATTCCCGTTTTAGACCTTCTAGCATCGGTGCTGTCTTGGCATAGGTAATATTTATGACCGCTAAAATTACAATCAAAACTCTCATGTGTATCCAGTATTATTTTCTAAACAATAATATTGTCATCATATTGTATGCAAATTAAACTACTAAAATATTTCATTTTAAATCAGTGTATTAACTGTCCACATCGATTTATTTGTATAACATAACTAATTTTAAATATTAGTAGTTTTTCATTATGCAAATTGTATTAAAGATTTAATTCGACGCAAAAGAGCTTCGTTGAATCCTTTTTCAACTTGTGCACATGATTCACAAGTCCACAAAATATGTTTGCAAAATGTTTCATTAAAAGTTGAAATTAAACTTTTCTTCAAGTGTCCAATATCATCAGAACACGTCGTTTGTTGATGGATGTCTGAAAAATATGCAATTACATTTCTTTAATTATTTTATATATGTAATTCAGCTATATAGTACTTTTTATTTATTTTATTTCCATATACAGAATCATGTACATCCAAATTTTCTTGGCAATTAAAATTCAAGTTTCAGGATCGGCATTTTAACCTATTTTATATTTTAAAACTACTAATAAACTAAACTACCAGACCTAATAGATTTCGCCGTGACCAAAAGCATAAGCAGAAATTTTATTTCAACATACACAAGCTGCGATTTATCTTCTGGCCATTCTCCAGTTACATTTTGCTCACTTGGTGACCCTCAGTTATATGACTGTTCCTATACAAGTCCTAGAATAGACTCGCACATAAGTACACACATACACACAAATTACAAAATAAAGTGAAAATAGCACATTAAGGACGCAACCCCGGTTTTAAACTCAAATCTGATTTCAGCAGCAGAAAACACCACCCCTTAAGACAATAATATTTGCCCATCCAATAAAGTACTTTAAATAGTGGCATAGAAAACTTAGTTTCACAAAAACGTAGGTTATGGTGTGAATGGCAAAAATCTACCCCTTCAGCGAAAAACTTACTCAAGGAAGCCCAAAGAAGAGTTAGATCTGCATTAAGCAAGGAAACCAAAGTCAGACAATATAATTACAGTGTTGTGCATAACAAAAGCAACCAAAATTTGCCCATCAAATAAATAAGTTTTTTGTCTACTTTTTACTTTTCATTCAAAAATCTAAATACACAGTTTTATTTGTTATTGTATTAGCTATTTTAAAAAAACAACAAAATCTACAATTCTTCATAACGGGTTAATTAATTCACACAAATAATAATATATTGCGAAATGCGGCTGTGCAGAACAATAGCAACTTTATTTATTATATTAAATTTTTGTATTATTTTTCTAAATTTTGTATAAAACCCTTTGCTTTTTATTACTTGGGCACTTCTACGTGTCATAGGTGATATTAAATTGTTAATAAAACTATTTGGAATTTTACACCATTCATCTTTCATGACCTCAAACAAATGGAAACTTTTCGATCCCCAAAATGTTCTCAATTGAATTAAAATCAGGTGTTTGGGCTGGCTAATCTAAAATTGGAATTCCATTTTTCAAAATCCATTCTCTTATCAGCTTTAAGGTGTGTTTTGGGTCGTTATCGTACTGATATACCCGTCGGAGTGACATTTTTCATCCGCCATGGGGTACCATATGGCTCTCTAAAATTTTTTTGTAAACATGTTGGGCTATTATTTGATGAATTTCATGAAAAAATCTTAGTCTAAATCCTGAAAAGAACGCTCAAATTATTACTGACCCACGTTTCGATCAATTCTACAAGTAATCTTAAGAGAGGCTTCACCCAAATAAACCGTTTTAACGGTATTTTGTCTAATTATATTTTTTTATAAGCTGCGAAACAATAAACTAATTAATTTTAAATATTTTGGCTATTTCATTTGAGCACTGCCATTTAAATATTTTTCAATTCTTGCTTCTTTAAACTTCAAAGTATACGTGTCACTAGCCATGATAAAAACGTACTTCCATTACCTGATTTAATATTGAACTATTCTGTGTTTATGTTCTAATTTGCTTAAAAACATAAATCACAGCATAAAAATGCAAAAAATCAAAAAAATATCTTGCTAGAATGCACTTTGGTCATAGATCTATCATTGATCTTGTCTCAGTTGCTATTGTTCTGCACAGCCGCATTTCGCAATATTTTATTATTTGTGTGAATTAATTAACCCGTTATGAAGAATTGTAGATTTTGTTGTTTTTTTATAATAGCTAATACAATAACAAATAAAACTGTGTATTTAGATTTTAGAATGTAAAGTAAAAAGTAAACAAAAAACTTATTTATTTGATGGGCAAATTTTGGTTGCTTTTGTTGTGCACAACACTGTATATTCAAAACCTATGTCCAAATGGCAAAAACCATTTATCCTTATGGAATACTAGCAAAGGTATAAATTCCCCCATAGAATCCGATTCTTTAATAAGAAACTCTCTCGGAAACTGGGCGCTAAGCGATGAAGGAAAATTTAACGTTTTAGTTAGATTGCAAAAAGGGACCAGGATATGATAACATCTCACCCATCATGATAAAAAAAAATTTACTGTTTTTGGCCATAAATTTCATCACGAGACTTTTTAATGCCATTATTAAATTTGGCTTTTACCCAACAGAGTGGAAAACACCCATGATTATTATGATTCATAAATCAGATATAGATCCCACGCTTGGCTCTTCATACACTCCCACCAGTTTGGTTTTAAAGAAAAACATGGAACTATTACCTGCAAATGTCCAGTCAATTTAAGAATCGTTTCTGTAGAATAGAACCTTTAAAGTCAAATATAAATTATACACTTCTACTAATTTCCCAATAGAAGCTTGCGTTCCACAAGGAAGTGTTCCAGGCCCTGTCTTGTGTGTACATCTGATATCCCAATAACTAGTTTAGTTATCACCACTACGTTTGCCGATGATACGGCAATTTTATGCTGAAACAAAAACGCCGAACTAGCTTCGAACAACTTCAATCTCACTTATTTCGGTTGAAGAAATGGTTGCCAAAACAGCGCATTAAAATTAATGAACTAAAATACTTTTATTTTAGTAAAATGATAAAATCACTTTTACTTTAAATCGAAGTACATCTCCAACAATTACACCAAACAACATTATCATACAACAAGCAGATAACATAACGTACTTATGTATTTTCCTAGACAGACGACTAACTTGGTGCAAGCATATTGAAGCTAAACAAATTCAGATAAAGCTTCAAGTCTCTAAGTTGTATTGGCTCATTAATAACAGTTCCTCACTATGCTTGGAGTATAAACTTCTTTTGTATAACACCATCATAAAATCAATATGGACTTAGGGTAACCAACTATCTGGTAATGCTAGTGCTTCAAATATTGAAATTGTGCAAAGAGCTCAGTCAAAAATACTGAAAACAACCACTGGTGCCCCATAGTATATAAGGATTTAAAGTATCCACCGAGATCTACAAATTCCCGTAATTAATGCTGGATTTGACAATATAAGAAAAAAATACAATAAAAGACTGACAGAATATGTTAATGCCTTAGCAAAGAATCTCGCACTTCTATCCATTACTCCCCGTCTAAAAAAACTGACCGTCTAGCCATTAATTAATATTCAATAGCTTGCAGTAAAAGCCGCACCTTTCTTTTTAGTAATCTGCAAAAGTTGAACCACTTTCTTGAAAAACCACCTAACATTCACTCCAATGAAATTTAACCCATTGATCTAAATGACGTTCGTGATATAAGGTTTACTTATTTTATTTTATTTTATGCAATGTATAATTAAAATAAAAATTTGTAATATTATGTAATTAGTAATAAGATGTTTAAAATAAAATAAAAAATAAAATAAATATAAAAAATCAGCGTAAACAGTATATCATGCAAAATCAGATACCAACGCTAAAACGACCAGTGGCGTTTATTATCGATGTATCAATAACTACATGATCAATGAAAAATTTCCTTCACTAAGTATCGAAAAACAACAAAAAGCGATCTTGATCTTAACTCAGGGTATTACCAAAAACCAATAGCGGAAGAGAGCAGAAAGTATACGGCATTTTTAATGATATGCGATTTGTACAATTTCAAACTTATCGGATCTTCTCAACTTCATCTGTAAAACCAAATGATTTAACAAGGATAACAAAGGTTAGCAATTTGCCTCTCTCTACATAATAATTGACGGCATTACAATGGCCAATATATGCCTCCGAGTGAAAGTGCTGACAACTGTCAGCACACGTCTTTTGAACCTAACCGAACTCTTTACGTAAACCAACCCTTTAATACATTTCGTATGAAATCACAAAAACATCTACTTCACATGCAAAATGAATTTTATATTTCCGCTGGCAACCAAACCCATTAAGGACATTGTAAAGACGCAAGCTTTTGTTCATTCAAGGAAAATTACACAACATAAAAATAAAGAAGTTTTACAGTTAATCAACGTAATTGAACCAGCACGAAAACTAAAACGTATAATAACACCCTTTGACCTCACTAAGTAATAAAACCTAGCGCCGTTAGCATTAATGTGCTTATATTTGTAAATCATCAAACTAAAAATGCTTGTTAAAAATATTAAGTAGTTGTGTTAATGAAAAAAAAAAATTAAAAAAAAAGAAAAGAAAATATTAGGTGATCACCATACTAGTATATACTAAATGTTTAATATTTATTTTAATCAAATCTTGTCTTAGTAGGAGTCGTCTAGTAATTTTGAAATACTTTTTTATCTAATTATACCTATGTTGTACATATTTTTTTGTTATTATAGTCTTTTTTTAGAAGATATGCACGAATCGAGGGAAATAAGTTCTATTAAGCTGCTATTTCAAACAATTCAAGAATTTTTTTGTGTGTTTATAATTATCATTAGATCGATTGAGCGATTTGGAAGAAAATCAACAAAAAATATTATTTGTAGAGCAGATTAAATTAAAAAGATTTTTACAGACTATTCGCCATTTCATTGGTTTTACGAAGGAATTAATAAACCTAGCCTTTTTTATTGCTTTAAATATTTTTCAAAAATACAATTTAGTAAAAAAAAATATGTATATGCTTGTATCATATCGTATTGTCACTTATAAATAAATTCCAGCAATAACTTTTTAATTTCACTTACCTAGTAATAATTTATGCTCAAAATCATTTGAAAACGTTTTTCGTACATAAAAGTCGAGATGGCTCCATAGTAAATACAAACACTGTTCTGTTACAAATACACAAAGCGATAGCGCGTCTCTTGTTGTACACAAGCACTGGTTCATATTAAAAAAACTTTTTACTAAAAAATATAAAAATTTAAATACAAAACAACCTAATGTTTTAATTATATTAACTTTACCATATTTATGTGTTACCAATTCATCACCGTTAATGTCTTGTGGTACAGCTTTTTGGCACAATAAGTTATCTGCTGTATAATTTTGGTTATAAACAAACTCTACAGAGCTTTTTAGTTGATCGATTATAACATTTAAATAATGGATTATTTTATTTGAATTATTTAAATTATCGTTACTTTGAATTGTTTCTAAGAACATTATTCCATTAATTCTGCGATCCGTAGAATGATCAGAAATTGCATTACAACAAAATAATGACAAATTAGCAGCTATTTCAAAAAAAGTTTTTATGTATTTATCCTTAGTAGCATCATTAATGGGTCCTTTAATATATTGCAATCTTAACATTTCTTTAAATGTATTCTCGTTAACTAAAAATTGACTTAACGAAGAAAGCATCAATTTATGTGTACGATATAAATTAATGTCACTGTGTTCAGTTGCATGTATTTCACTAAGAGAGAATATATTCTAAACAAATAGAATTCACATATTAAAAAATTTATAAATCACATATAATTTCTTAATATTGATACTTAATTAATGCCAAGCTTTAAAAAGATATACGATGAGAGTACCGAAAGTTCGCTTAGTTGTCTCCAAATTTAACAAAAATAATTTTCTACTTAATTAGCACACTTTAATCTTAATTTTTTATTATTTTTACATAACTTCAGAGACCGAAAATAGCAGTTATTTTAAAATTTTTTGTGAAAAAAAGCAGCAACAAAAAGTTGTCTAAACTCTTATTTAAGTAAATAGTTATCATTCTAACAACTTTTATCCTTAATATTATGCAGGCTTTTTATATATGAGCTTTTTAAAATAAAACTCAAAAAATAATAATTAAATTTGATTTTTATTATATTCATCAAAAATAATAATTATTATATGCCTTTTATTTTTTTCGCGCAGAAATAACTCTTAAAATTTGCTTCTTATTTTAAAACGCACAAATAACTGGTATACTTGCGTTATATAATATAAAAAGCAAGAGTATCGCGCAAATTCTGCGCGATATTTTTAAAATGAAAATATAAAATGCAATTTTCATACAAGGTAGTTGTTTTTGCAATTCCATAGAAAATGTTTGAAAAGGTTGGTGCAGGTAAAGATTTAGTTCAGATTTTTGTTTTTGTATTTTGCATACAAATTTGGTATCTATAAAATACAAAGTAAAGAAAAAATATGAATCCAAAATACAAAAACAAAAAACTAAACTAAATCTTTACCTGCACCAACCTTTTAAAACATTTTCTATGGAATTACAAAAACAACTACCTTGTATGAAAATTGCATTTCATATTTTCATTTTAAAAATATCGCGCAGAATTTGCGCGATACTCTTGCTTTTTATATTATATAACGCAAGTATACCAGTTATTTCTGCGTTTTAAAATAAGAAGCAAATTTTAAGAGTTATTTCTGCGCGAAAAAAATAAAAGGCATATAATAATTATTATTTTTGATGAATATAATAAAAATCAAATTTAATTATTATTTTTTGAGTTTTATTTTAAAAAGCATATATAAAAAGCATACATAATATTAAGGATAAAAGTTGTTAGAATGATAACTATTTACTTAAATAAGAGTTTAGACAACTTTTTGTTGCTGCTTTTTTTCACAAAAAATTTTAAAATAACTGCTATTTTCGGTCTCTGAAGTTATGTAAAAATAATAAAAAATTAAGATTAAAGTGTGCTAATTAAGTAGAAAATTATTTTTGTTAAATTTGGAGACAACTAAGCGAACTTTCGGTACTCTCATCGTATATCTTTTTAAAGCTTGGCATTAATTAAGTATCAATATTAAGAAATTATATGTGATTTATAAATTTTTTAATATGTGAATTCTATTTGTTTAGAATATATTCTCTCTTAGTGAAATACATGCAACTGAACACAGTGACATTAATTTATATCGTACACATAAATTGATGCTTTCTTCGTTAAGTCAATTTTTAGTTAACGAGAATACATTTAAAGAAATGTTAAGATTGCAATATATTAAAGGACCCATTAATGATGCTACTAAGGATAAATACATAAAAACTTTTTTTGAAATAGCTGCTAATTTGTCATTATTTTGTTGTAATGCAATTTCTGATCATTCTACGGATCGCAGAATTAATGGAATAATGTTCTTAGAAACAATTCAAAGTAACGATAATTTAAATAATTCAAATAAAATAATCCATTATTTAAATGTTATAATCGATCAACTAAAAAGCTCTGTAGAGTTTGTTTATAACCAAAATTATACAGCAGATAACTTATTGTGCCAAAAAGCTGTACCACAAGACATTAACGGTGATGAATTGGTAACACATAAATATGGTAAAGTTAATATAATTAAAACATTAGGTTGTTTTGTATTTAAATTTTTATATTTTTTAGTAAAAAGTTTTTTTAATATGAACCAGTGCTTGTGTACAACAAGAGACGCGCTATCGCTTTGTGTATTTGTAACAGAACAGTGTTTGTATTTACTATGGAGCCATCTCGACTTTTATGTACGAAAAACGTTTTCAAATGATTTTGAGCATAAATTATTACTAGGTAAGTGAAATTAAAAAGTTATTGCTGGAATTTATTTATAAGTGACAATACGATATGATACAAGCATATACATATTTTTTTTTACTAAATTGTATTTTTGAAAAATATTTAAAGCAATAAAAAAGGCTAGGTTTATTAATTCCTTCGTAAAACCAATGAAATGGCGAATAGTCTGTAAAAATCTTTTTAATTTAATCTGCTCTACAAATAATATTTTTTGTTGATTTTCTTCCAAATCGCTCAATCGATCTAATGATAATTATAAACACACAAAAAAATTCTTGAATTGTTTGAAATAGCAGCTTAATAGAACTTATTTCCCTCGATTCGTGCATATCTTCTAAAAAAAAGACTATAATAACAAAAAAATATGTACAACATAGGTATAATTAGATAAAAAAGTATTTCAAAATTACTAGACGACTCCTACTAAGACAAGATTTGATTAAAATAAATATTAAACATTTAGTATATACTAGTATGGTGATCACCTAATATTTTCTTTTCTTTTTTTTTAATTTTTTTTTTTCATTAACACAACTACTTAATATTTTTAACAAGCATTTTTAGTTTGATGA